CAGTGTGCCTTGTGATGGTTTGTTTTTACAGACTGCTGCTGAATGTGAATCTCATGTCTGTGATTCTTTTCTTCCAACACAGTGACTTCAGAATCCAAGGAGACAAAGACGTTTGAGGAGCCCTGAGATGATCGACGACAGAAGAACTAAGCCAGGAAGAGGAAGAAGATGAAGAACAGCTCCAGGTATCACCAAAGGTAAACTCCCCAGAATTCATTGCATCTACTGATAAAGTTGTTAAGAAAACATTGTGTCATGTTGCAGCGTGAAAGCTCAGGTTATGTGTGTTTCAGGAAACCTCTATGACATCCTGATTTTGAGTTTTTACTCGAAATTGTGTCGTTAACCTTTGTAATGTTTGTAGTTCTGTTAGCTTATCACCCACCTGCCTCTTACTCTGATGATGTGAATTTTCAGAGTTCTTTGCTGATTTAGTCTCAGTACAGATAAAGTCATTATAGTGAGTGGATTTAATATCCATGTAGATGCTGTGATTGGCAGCTTCAACACTGCATTTAGTTCATCTTTAGTTGATTTTACTCAAAATGTAAATACACCAACTCAGACTGCTGGAGGTTGACCCATGATGCACTGAGCACCTCTCCTCTCCCTCTCTCTGTACAACTAGATGCTACTGTCGTACGCCACTAACTTAGAGTTTAATCCTCTGTGCAGGTATCTCTGGATCTGGAGCTCCACGTTTCTGACCTGCTGGTACTGACCTCAGCGACCTCCAAAGTCTTCATGTTCTCTCCCTCCTCTTTACCCTCACCCCAGCCAGAGGTTTTTTTTAACTTCCCGGCAACAGGAGGTTTGTTTCCTCACCCCAACTGGAGGTTTTTTTTTTTTTTTTAACTTCCCAGCAATGGGAAGTTTTTTTCCTCCACAAATGCTTGATCTGATCAAAGAGCAAAAAGAGAGCCTCAAATAAATAACAAAACAACATATGAGAACTGTATCTGTTTGCTGAAAAGTTTAACATGATGTACTCTTCCTTTCACATTGGTTGTTTGAGCGCACGTTTTATGGTTAAAAGAGAAAAGAGGAGACAAGCTGTTATTAATTCAACAGCGGGGAAATTTGCATTGTTGCAACACTGAAAGGGATTGTGCAAACATTTAAGGAATATAAGTAGAACAATAAAAATAAATCAAAATAAACAAGTACATTTCTAGAAATACCATCATTGCAAATATCAGTGGTATTGCACAGATTCTTTTATGAATAGAAACACTGAGTGCTGGTATTGCACAGACTTTTTTCTATACTGCACACATTTGCATACATTCTAGTATATGTAGAAAATAGATGTTGCACGGGGTTTTTAAATGTACAGAATATTCATAATTCAAAGGTTTGAATGTGTTGATATTGCATCAAAAAGAAGCATTGTTCGGTGTGATGTCTACTGGGAGCACATATGGTTGTAAAGTCTGACAGCAGCAGGAAAGAAGGACCCACAGGCGAAGCATCCTGCGACTGAAGGAGCTGCCCGACGTTGTCAGAGTCTCCTGCAGAGGGTGGGACGGGTTCTCCCACAGAGATGATAGTTTAACCATCATCCTCCTGTCTGGTGCCATCATCTCCACCAGGTTGAGGGCAGAGCTGGCCATCTTTATAAGCTCAGTGTTTCCTCGACATTCATTTAGGAGTGACAGGTCACCATTCCAGTACCAAGGTAAACGACAGATAACTATCTACTATTTGGGGTGTTCATGCCACCTTAATTACTGGCAAGTACTAAGGTAAACTACAGCTAAATATCTTGCTCAGTATTTACTCTTTGCTGTGTTCATACAATGTTAATTACTGGCCAGTACTCAGGTAAACGACAGATTATTATCTTGTTCAGTATCTACTATTTGAGAGGTTAATATGCCGTTATTTACTGGCAAGTGCTAAGGTAAACGACAGATAACGATCTTGTTCAGTATCTACTCTTTGTGGTGTTCATGTGACGTTAATTACTCAGGAGTACTATGGTAGACTGCAAATAGCTGTCTTGTTCAGTATCTACTAATTACTGGCCAGTTCTAAGGTAAGTGACAGATAACTATCTTGCTCAGTATCCACTCTTTGAGTGGCGACTACTAAGGTAAGTGACAGATAACTATCTTGCTCAGTATATACTCTTTGAGGTGTTCATGCGACGTTAATTACTGGCGACTACTAAGGTAAGTGACAGATAACTATCTTGCTCAGTATATACTCTT